ACTCAAATATAATATCACTAGTTTGACTCCGCCGGGAGTCATGTTAAAACATGACAATTCCACGACTCCAATGAAAGTCGCATATTTTTTCATTAATTATTTCGAATAATCATAGAGTAATTTATAGATATTACATTTAATGTGAAAGTAAAAGACGTAAAAAATAGTATTTCACAAAGAAGTTGTTGGACTTCATCATTCGCTTCATCAACATCGAGCGATTAATATGACCTTTGTATGGCGACTGTGGACGTGTAAGGGTGTGTGTGTACTGTGTACTCTTAATTTGGCCCATTTTAATATATCGCTAATTTGGTCAATAAACTTTCACCTAGGGCGTCCCTTCCCGATTCTGTCGTTCACTTCTGCAACATAAATTTGCTTTGCCACTCTTTCCTCGCTCATTTGTTCTACATGACCAACCGAAGCATTCCTTTCTTTATCCTGGTCACAACATCATTTAGCGTACCACACTTTTCTCTTATCACACAATTTATCACCCTGTTATTCAGCCCTAACATATTTCTTAATGACCGCAATTCTATAGCATTAATTCTACTCACGTGCTTTTTCTGCCACACCCGACTTTCATTACCATATATTAAAGTAGGGACTAACACAGCGTTGTGAATTACCATACGTGTCTTTTTTGTCACATTCTGATTTTTTAAAATAAAGTGTGAACCCCTTACTCTATTTCCCGCGTTCACTCGTCGTTATATATCCTTATCATATCTACCATCCCTGCTAAATACACATCCCAAATACACAAACTTGTTCAAACAACTCCGTTTCTAGTCTTATTTCACATATCGTTTTACTTTCTTTTCTTTCAAAAAACATCATTTTCGTCTTACTTGCGTTGACTTTCATTCCCCCTTTTTTTTAATGACCTGTTCATTAATGTAACTATAATTTGCAACTTGACCGCCTCGTCGACGATGCAAATATAACTTGATCATCGGCTTTCAAAAGGCATTTTACGGTTAACTCACCCATTCTTATCCCACATATTTCATGAATCCACACAGCCCTGTCCGACACCTTTGTGGATGCCAAACCAGTCCGCGTAGGCCCTGTCGATCCTGACACAAGAACTAGAGAGAGTCCTATAAAGAGACTTTAATGCGTGTTTTAACCCAGCGCTCAACCTAAATGATGTGTTTCCGATAACACAGCTTTGTCCACTCTGTTGTAAGCCTTAGCTTTATGCTTAACTTAGTCCATGAACGCATAAAAAACTTTTTGGTTTTTGGCCAAAAACTTTTCCGCGATCAAGCTCATGGAAAATACTTGATCCGTACACCCCATTCCCTTTCTAGATCCAGCTTGCACATCCCAAATTTTTCCATCAGTTTCTTTCATAACTCTTTCAATTAATACCTTAGCATACAGTTTACCCCCAATGATAAGCAGGCTGATAACACGTATTTTTACAGTCCTGCTGTGACCCTTTTACTTTATATATTGGGACTATTACGAATTTGTATTAGTCTCCCGGTACCCGTTTCAGTTTCCAACATAAATTAACTAAGGTGTACAACAGGCCTGCTACTCGTCTCCTCGCTCATATACACGCTTTCACAATATTCCTTCCTTCTTTTAAACTCGTAAATTTGTCATTCAACATACAGACATTCTCGTCTCGTATAGCATTCATTCTAGGCTGTTTTGTATTTTCTCTGGCAGTTCTTACGAGTTTCCAGAACATTTTAATATTTATCTGAAATTTATCAGATATTCTTTTATTATTCTTATCCGTTCTTTCTTGGCTTTTCCTTTCAACTACTTCTTTTACTCTTTTATTTATACGTCTAAAGCTGCCTTTTTCTGTCAATCTCATCATTCAGACCGCCAGAATCACCAGCTTTGGTTGCTAGTAAATTTAACCATGCTCTCTTCTTTGCTTCAACTTCCATCCGTAACTCATCATCCCACCACAACGTAATATTTTTCCTCTCATTCGTTCTCTTTTAAGGGATATGCCATTTAAGATTTGGCATTTGAATCGGCTATAAAAACTAATGATTATTTTAATATTTATTTATTTTATTTTTTATTGCACCACCAAAGATTTTTTATAAGTTTTTAAAAAGATTGACCCTTTCCAATTAGGAATGGAAGACAACATCATTCAAATGACTGCCACGGCTAGCCCTACGATACCCTATTCGATCAGTCCAATTTTTCAGTGCATATTCGATTGTTTGGGCATATAATTCGACAATGGCAACTTCTATTTCATGTTTAATGTCGTCAAAAAATCCAACGGAGTCAAATCGTAGCTTCGAGGTGACAATTGCGAGGCCAATTGACATCATTATTTCGGCTGTTTATGCGATTTTCGAAAACACTGCGCAAATGATCGATTGATACCTTGGGTGTATGTCGTTGCGCTGTCCCCTTGAAACCAAATGTCATCTATCTCATCCTCTTCAATTATGGGAAACAAAAAACCGTTTAGCTTGGCGCGGTAGCGATCGCCATTCACTGTAACGGCGTTTCCTTGCTTATTTTATTTTCGAAGTAAAATGGTTAAATAATGCCGCCACACCAAAATCCGCACCAGACAGTCGCTCGTTGTGGCTGCATTATTTTATCCACGGTGACCGATAATGATCTGAGCCCCAGGTATGACAATTTTGGTTATTCACGTATCCTCTGAGGTGGAAATGAGCTTCATCTGAGAAGATGAGTTTTCGTTATAAGTACTCACCATCGATCAAGCGGTCTTCGGCCCATTGAGAAAACCGAAAACGCATCGGATGGTCATGCAGCTTCAGCTCTTGCACTAATTGAACTTTGTACGCATTCACACCAAGATCTATATGCATAATTCTTCTGAAAGAAGTGCCTGAAATGTACAATTCTTGAGAATGATGACGAGTTGATTTTGATGGTGGTTCACGCACACTATGAACAACATCAGCGATGTTTTGCGGTTGAGCGCACTGGACGGGTACGTACACGGGTTGTTTTATTCAACAACGACCCAGTTTCATGAATTCGCTTCACAAATTGATTTACAAACTTCGTTTTTGGCACATCTTTTTTCGTAAATTTCTTACAGTTTGATTAGAAGACTCACTTTGGAAATAAGTTTTTAATATTTCTCAACTTTTTTTTCAATCGAAAAGCGTTTCATAAATGTCAAACGTAAAAGTAACTTTCTGTCACATCGGAAATATCATCAAACCTTAAAATGACCTATAGTTGCAATTCCAAACGTTAGATGGCCGATCTTGTATCACATAATTTGGTAGCTGCATCGACCAAGCCTTTCTTAGCATTATGACATACAGTCTCCTAGTCTAAATCATTTATACGCAATTCATGCAAACCTCTTATATTATCTCTCAGTCTTAATTTGTACTTCTCTTTCACACCTTCGTCTTGTAATCTCTCTATTCTCATATGCTGTAACGCATTAGTAGACTTAGATGTCCAATGCCGTCAAATTCAAATTCAAATTTCATTATTTGTCATGAATAGGGTAAATATTATGTTTTTACAATAAAAATAAGTTGCTTAAAGACCTATTTAGCCATAAGATACAGCATGCAAACTTTTCAAAATTACCAAGTATAGGTGGTAGTCGATTCTAAAATGTCAACCTATTTAATGTAATATATAAAATTCATAATGTCATAAGTAATTTACAATGCTAATGTCATAATTTAAATTTATTTATATTTACTCATTCACGGACTGACCAAACAATTAAAGAAAATTTAATTAAACTACATTATATACCATATCAGTTAATTATAAAATGTCAATTATGAGCTATAGTCCTCAAAAAAGTTGTCATCAGTAATTCAAAAACTCATTAACAGAGTAAAATGTATTTTGAAGAAGCCACTGGTGTAATTTTTTTTAAATATTTGTGTGGGAAGATATTTAATTATTGTGTGTGGTGTTTTATTATATATTGTTTTACCCATCCAGTAACAACTTTTGCTAAAGCATTTACTTTTAGGTATTTCGTTAATTACTATCCGATCTGGGTATGTCGTGTTCATGGATACCACTTCTTTATTAAGTTTATATAAACTCTTCCAGTACTGTTTTATAAATTTGGCAACTTTTAAGATATACAAGCAAGGCACGGGTAAGATCCCTGGTGTCTTAAATAGAGGCCGGCATGAGACATCTGGACCAACACCATGAATGGCACGAACACATTTTTTGTGCAATAAAAACTTTATTAATATCTGCACTGTTACCGCAAATTATAATCCCGTAGCGGATAACCGACTCAATATATGTATGCAAAATATGTCATAATTGCAGTTTGTTTTGTTGCCACTTTTGTTAGCCTGTAAAGCGCATATCTGAACCTGTTTATTACATATTATACATACTTGTTCTTTCCACTTTAATTCTTTGCCAATAATCATACCTAGGAATGTCACGTTTATAGCACTACAGAGAGTTTGTCCATTATAGTTAATATTTATTAAATTCCTATTTATATTATTGTTTATATATTGAGTTTTACTTAAATTTATTGTTAAATTGTTACATATTACTTAACAATTTAGATAATTGAGAGATTGTTTCATTAATGTCAAAAATATGTTTCGTCAGTGGCATATTTTTATTGTTTGTGACTATTACTGGAACGTCATATGCGAATTAAGTGTTTCTATATTTAATAATCTCAGGTAAGTAATTAAAATATATCAAAAATAAGAGTGGACCTAGTACACTACCCTGAGGCACGCCAAATACTCTATGGCAAATATTTCTCCTACGTTCAGCAGCGGACTTTTGATAGAAGGTAATTAATGAATAAATGATGGATAATTTCTTGAAGGAGCAGAGAGGAAAATTAGTTATACGTTTGCAATCGATTTATTAATAGTTGTGATCTAGCGACAAAAAATAAGGCTGACTGCGCCCGTGCCGCTATTATTGTACTATCGTAGCAGCGCCTTCAGTGTACATTCCATGAAGCAAACCTAGTGTCGATTAAACAAACAGAACTAAATTTACAGGTGGAGATTTGGTTAGTTTCAAAAATATGAGAAAAATAGCAGAAGCAAATCCTAAAGCAAAAAGTATTTTGTTATATAAAGCTGAAATTCAAGAAAGGAAACATGAAATTTTAATAAACGAAGAGGAATATAAGAAAGTTTTGAATATAGTTGATTCAGTACTCACTCAAGTGGAAGAACAGTTAAAAGACCAGAGTGAAGGTTTGTGGTTAATTGTAGTAATGATTATGATATTTTATCTCACTGAATTATAGTTTTAATACTTTTATCACTTCTATTTCAGAAAATTGGTTGTGTTGTGAAAATTTTAGTATTGCTGATATTAATTTGGCTATATTACTCCAGCGTCTATGGGAACTTGGACTAGAAGGAAGATTTTGGACAAATGGCAAAAGGCCTTATATAGAAAATTATTTCAGTCGTGTAAAACTTCGTGATTCTTTCATTAAAACTATTCCTGGTCTACATGTTCACTTGAAAATGATAATAACGTCACAACCTCCCACTTATATAGCAGCAGCTGGTGTTGTATCTGTAGGAGTTGTCATTGCTATTGCCTATATATTAAAAAAACTCATATAATCTGTATATCTGAATAAGTTTGATGAATCTTGAATAAACCCAAACAATCTCTTATATATGTTTGATGAATATTCGAGGTTCGGGTATTTTTAAATTTCTAAACCAAATGATTAAAACCAATTTTGTAGATTTCATCTGACTTAAAGTTAAAATTATAAGCGATAAAGTCGGTAAAATAAGTTTATTCAATGTGCAGTACTGGATTAAATATAAGAAATCATTTTATTATGAAGTTACATCTTAGTAGATTTTATTACAAAAATGTTTGTTCGAATACAATGTTATTAAGAATTTCCGAATTTGCAAATCAGTATTAAGTATTATTTAAAGCATAAGATTTTAAATGATTGTAGTACCTAATAATGTTTGTCTTAAATAAGTGCATATATTATTATGCTCATTTGTATAAACATTCAGTATTATTCAAGGTATAATTTTAATTAGTGTTAATCCTATATCCACTATAAATCAAATAAATTTTTAAAATCTTTGACATGATATATTTTATTGAAACTGTACACTATATGGAGTATGCTATACTCTTACAATTTTCAAACATAATTAATAGATAGAGATATTATAGATAGATAAATAATTATTTATATACAAACGAAATAAAAAGAATTACCGTCATTGCTCAAAATTCGAAAAAATCTGATTGAATAATAATAATTTTACAAATTTTATTGCGTTTAATTTAACATGTTTAACTTATTTTTTATTCCCGACGTTTCGAGTGCTTTACAGAACACTTACAACACTTTGCAGAAAAACATAAATTTAAGTTAAACAAGTCAAAATAAACGAGATAAAATGCGTAAGATTAGTTTTATTCAATCTCGAAGATTTGTATAATCTATTTCGGAAAAAATTTATTTTTTTATCATAAGAAATCAAAAAAATCCAACTTTTCCGAAGGTGATTTTTAAAAGCAAATTAAAAAGTTACAATAAAGTTTGTAATATAAAAAATAATTCAATTTTAATGGACGTTTCAATGTTACAACTTTTTTATTTATAGTTCGAAGAAAGAATATTTTTGAGAGTAGTTTCACCTTAAATATGTTCTATAAATAAGCATCAACTTTAAAAATTGTTTAGAATAAATATCGGATAAATTTTAACATATGTGGAAATTTTGATATTCGATATTTTGTTCACGTCATCGATGGATCAATTCTTAATTCATCTTTTAGATGCAGTCACACATCGATCATCTAAACGTTGGATTACATAAATATTTTCTTTGAAATTCGGATTCGATATCTTGGCGAGAACTTAACTGGTGAACTGCTTATCTTGTTTTATCGTAAAATAATTGCTTGAAGTGGATTTTTAATCCCGGGCCAAAATCGGTTTTTGGGTTTTTCTGTCAAAAAGTTCTTTGTAGTAAGTAGTTTTCACACCCGTGCTTTGGAAAGAACTTAAAGCCGTTGTTCGTTCTCTCCTTGGTTGTGTCGGATTGACGTTTCATAAAACTGAGATTAAGGGAATAAAGGGTGCGCATACAGTCGTGCACTATAATCCTGTTCTGATAAGTCTCCGTTAAGACTTATTAATTTCAAATTCATGAGTAGGTACTGAAATTGTGGCAAACAAGTTTTTTATACAATTTTATAGTGCCTATTCGTTAGCAATAAAGGAAGAGTTACAAAAGTTAGAAATTATGATAATTGCATTTCTTACAACCAACAACTCTTCAGTTTTGTTGGGTTGTATACTTTGAGTATTAAACCAAAGTAGTCGACATCGCAAGGAATAACCCTCTCTCAAAGGTACGAAAGTCAGTATCATATCGGTATCGGGAGGTATATGTATAAAACTAGTATCACCGCGTCATGCGCTATTCCGCAAGTAGTAACAAAACAAACTTTTTATTCAATATGGATTATAAACAATACTTATTAAAAGTCACCATCCACTTATTAAAAGTTACCATCTGGATGACTGGCGGTCCACCACTATGCGATTTAAAAGAAGTTTTCTTCCTCGCACAACTTCCTTGTGGAATCGACCGATTTGAGCTTGGTAGCGATCACTTTTTGATTAAATTTGAATTAAAATCTGAGTTTGATCAGTTTCAAAAACTGGCCATAATTCTATTAACTAATAAAATCATAATTTTATATTACACTAAAAACACTTCACTGCTGGCCGTATTAGGAAGCTCAAATTCGCTTAGCGAGCTACGGAGACGGCTTTGCTCAGGGTTTTCTGCATGACAAACTTAGAAATAAGGATATCCGCAGCCGACATAGCCCAATGGATTAGTAAGCTGAAGTGGCAATGGGCCGACCATATCGCTCGAATAACTGACAACCGATGGGAAAAAAGTTCTCGAGTGGCAGTCTCGTACCGGTGAGCGAAGTGTAGGGTGACCCCCTAATAGATGGAGTGACGACCTGGTAAGACATGTAGGAAGTCGATGGATGCAGTGGCTCAGGACCGTGCCTTGTGTCATTTCATGGGGGAACCCCATGTTCAGCAGTAGACTTCAGAAGGACTGTAATGAGTGAAAAACACTAAAAATCACTTTTACCAACTCTGAAGTTATGCGGACTATGATGATTCGTTTATTGATAAATATATCGACATAGTCCTTGCCCTACGTTGCTTATGCGTGTAGACAGCGCCACCAGTGTACGGGCACGTGTAAAATTTGATGGTTTGCGTAAATGCAATGAACACAAACACAAATGCTGTAGTGTGCGTGTGACGTAATTCAATTTTGCATTTCTAGTGAAGTATACAGTAGTGTGTTATCCTCGCCCCTGGAATTGACAGACTTTTTGTTTAGGAATTAACGCACATGAACAGTTGCTTGAATATTAAAAGGTTGTATAATAAGTTTTGGTTTGTATAGTTTTGTGTATCAACGGTTATAATTCGTGTTGGACCTTGTCAAAGCTTTTTTTTTCATTGAGAAATGCCTACTCAATTCCCACTCGCGGGGTATATGCGTAGGCTTATGTCGGATTTGTACCGACTAAAACTTCATGGTGTTACGCCTTTGCCGCGGTGGCGAAGCTTCGATAGGGCAAGCCCAGAAGGCGGGCTTGCCCTATCAAACTGCTCAATCAATAATATCAACTAATAAAAAAAAAATCTCCTCATCCGTCCGAGACTTGTTTGTGAGTAGACGTGTCGCGCTTTTGTTACAAATTTGTAACTAATATACATACAAAAACCTGCTGTAATCGTTGCACAGTAAAGTCGACATAGTCTGAATTAACCTAATAATATTTAATCCATCACAATATCTGCCTGCGTGTCGCGTCCCCCTCATACCTCACGTGCAAGCGTGTCAACTGCTATTTTTTGCCCGTTCTCGCGCCGCAACGTCGTAAACGCACAAGGTTGTGTATCACCGCTACGAAGAGCGCGCTTCGGGCTACTAGGGCCTACGTAAAAACCGACGCGGTTACGATCTTCGCATCTGTGTGCTACGATATCGCTGCATAATTGAACTGCGCAGCATTCGAAGGCATTGTTTTCTACAAGATGAAAAGTGATACGAACAGATCGTTATCTGATTCTCATATTCATCAGGAAGCAGTTTGGGACACTGAAACCCCCCAACTATGTTAGCCAACGTAATAAGAGATGCAGGGGTGACAGAAGAGGAAACTTTGGAAGCGTTTAAGCAAGATATGATGGCAGCCCTTCAAACTATGATGCAAAATGAATTTAAGAAAATTAATCCAATCCTTCAAGACATCAAAAAGACAATTTTTATTTATTTATTTATTTATTTTAACAATAAGTAACATTATAAAAAACACAGGTAGCTGCGGGTGGTTCGCGGCTACCGCACGATCTCCCGCGAGGCGGCGGCACACACACACACACGCGCACGCGCACGCGCACGCACGCATGCGCGCACGCACGCACGCACGCACGCACGCACGCACGCTCGCACGCACGCACGCACGCACGCACGCACGCACGCTCGCACGCACGCTCGCACTCACGCACGCACGCACTCACGCACGCACGCACGCTCGCACGCACGCACGCACGCAAGCACGCACGCACGCTCGCTCGCACGCACGCACGCACGAACGCACACACGCACGCACGCACGCTCGCACGCTCGCTCGCACGCACGCACGCACGCACGCACGCTCGCTCGCTCGCACGCACGCACGCACGCACGCACGCACGCACACACACACACACACACACACACACACACACACACACACACACACACACACACACACACACACACACACCCCTTTGTCGCGCCGCAACGCGAGTCCTTTAAATACGATTTTAGACATTTTAACATACTACCAGTAATGCCGTAGGCAGCTAACTTACGAACCAATATGTCATGTGGGGCCCGATCAAATGCTTTGCTAAGATCAGTATATATTACGTCGACTTGTTTCCCCCGCATCAAGTGCTTCAATTAGTATTTCCGTAATATGTACCAAATTAGTGCTCGTAGACCTAGATTTAACGAACCCATGTTGGCTAGTGGTTAAGTAAAGATTGATATGTCTCTGAATATAAGGACAAATAATTGACTCTAATAATTTAGCAAAGACTGATAATATAGAGATCGGCCTGTAATTTCTTACATAATCCTCACTGCCCGTTTTATGAACCGGAACGATTTTAGCTATTTTCCATAGAGTAGGAAATTGCCCAGTACAAAGAGAAAAATTGAATATAATTAATAGTGAATTAACAAGGTGATCAGCACATCTGACTACAAACACTGGAGGGATTCTATCAGGACCTGCTCCTTTATTACATTTAATGCTTTTTAATTTATTTAATAGGGTATCATGATCAATTTTCAGCTGTGCTAGGTGAAGGCTATTAATTTCAATTAATTTCAAGGACTCTGAATGGTCATAGAATAAGTCATTTATTGTGCTAGTTGTAGGTTTAAGAGATTTAACACTATAAAAATAATTAAGTATCACCACAACCTGCCTAGATAAGGCTTACAATATTATTAAAATTATGGAACTTAAAACATCATCTCAT